TTTTATAATCTATTTGAATTCACAAAAATGAGGGGTTTTAATTAAAAACGGCCGATGACGTCATAGCTTCTACAAAAATGGCCGCAAATATGAACATTTTACATCAAAATGTGAGGAATTAAAGGCACATTTTTTAATGAATTTGTTTGCCTATAACCTCTTCCCATTTCCTTCTTGATCTTGGAATATTTTTTTGTAATATTTACTTGTTTTTGCCAAATGCCAAAATAAATTAATTAATTTTGGTGAAAAAAAGTGGAGTTACATAAATATTGTGTTCAATAAAAGTGTGGGGACTGGATTTCCCACTCTTGTCTGTCAGTACAATTTAAGTGATTTTTATAATAATTTTTATTTATTTTATTTTTATTGCTATGTATTTCGAATTATTATTAGTCAGTAATTATGTTTAAACTTTTCAGGTAGTAGGTTGTAAATAGTGTATTGCAGAGAGCGTGTGTTTGTTACCTGGAGCCTTGTAAACATCCTTTACGATTGCTTACTTACCTCTCCGGTTTCTTTACCGAAAGTAATTTATTTAATTTTATTTTTATTACCCTGTTATAGATGCGCTTTGATTTTTCCAAATGTTTCCTACCTATCCCCTACCACGATTAGGGGTGGGTGGCCAAAGGGCTCTTGGAAAATGCCGTGGTCTATCACGAGACACAACGTACTGACTGCCCGTTTTGAGTACATCGGCTCCGGGTGACAACACATTTAAATTATAATTCTGTTTGTGTATATATGTGTATTGTATTGTATATTGTGTATATGTAGTGTAATAAAGTTAAGTTTGTAAATACCTCGCCGTCGATCAATTTGCACACAACTACCCGCACCAAAGCAGTCGCTAAAGTGGTGACCCCGACGTGATTCGAACATGCAAGTATTTGTGCAAGAAGAAATCAGTGCTACCGACATGACGAAGACCATAGCTTCCGGCATACGGCAATCATTCGCAAACGTAGCGAGCTTCGTAGCACTCTCCTACGTTGCGGTGCACAACACGGTCCTCACCGATGTCCAGCACTAAGATCTGCCTCAGTATGACAGTACTGGAGGCCGACATCCACAGCCACAGTCCACACTGGTTTCAGCAGTAAGGTCAACCATAGTTGACAATGTTGGATACCACCAACCAACCATCTAAATGCTGGATGACGGTCACAGCTCAATCATCCAAACACTGGACGACGGCCACAACCACAGCTCTAACGTTAAACAGCTCAAACGTTTAACAGCTCTAACGTTCAACAGCTCCAACGTTCAACGGCTTTAATCCTTCTTAACGCGAGATGCCTCAACACGAGATGCCTCAACGCGAGATGCCTCAACACGAGATGCCTCAACGCGAGATGCCTCAACACGAGATGCCTCAACACGAGATGCCCCAAGCAGGCATCCCAACGCTGGATGCCCAAAACCATCTGTCTACCCAGACGCTTGGACCTTCTACCTCGAGAAAACGTCACACGTCATGGAAGACGCGTCCGATTTCCCGATCGCTTCCAATCCGGACTCTCGTGATCTTCATCACTGGCAGGGGAGTGATGTGGGGACTGGATTTCCCACTCTTGTCTGTCAGTACAATTTAAGTGATTTTTATAATAATTTTTATTTATTTTATTTTTATTGCTATGTATTTCGAATTATTATTAGTCAGTAATTATGTTTAAACTTTTCAGGTAGTAGGTTGTAAATAGTGTATTGCAGAGAGCGTGTGTTTGTTACCTGGAGCCTTGTAAACATCCTTTACGATTGCTTACTTACCTCTCCGGTTTCTTTACCGAAAGTAATTTATTTAATTTTATTTTTATTACCCTGTTATAGATGCGCTTTGATTTTTCCAAATGTTTCCTACCTATCCCCTACCACGATTAGGGGTGGGTGGCCAAAGGGCTCTTGGAAAATGCCGTGGTCTATCACGAGACACAACGTACTGACTGCCCGTTTTGAGTACATCGGCTCCGGGTGACAACACATTTAAATTATAATTCTGTTTGTGTATATATGTGTATTGTATTGTATATTGTGTATATGTAGTGTAATAAAGTTAAGTTTGTAAATACCTCGCCGTCGATCAATTTGCACACAACTACCCGCACCAAAGCAGTCGCTAAAGTGATAGACCAAGACCTTTTCCAAGAGCCCTTTGGCCACCCACCCCTAATCGTGGTAGGGGATAGGTAGGAAACATTTGGAAAAATCAAAGCGCATCTATAACAGGGTAATAAAAATAAAATTAAATAAATTACTTTCGGTAAAGAAACCGGAGAGGTAAGTAAGCAATCGTAAAGGATGTTTACAAGGCTCCAGGTAACAAACACACGCTCTCTGCAATACACTATTTACAACCTACTACCTGAAAAGTTTAAACATAATTACTGACTAATAATAATTCGAAATACATAGCAATAAAAATAAAATAAATAAAAATTATTATAAAAATCACTTAAATTGTACTGACAGACAAGAGTGGGAAATCCAGTCCCCACAAAAGTATTTACAAATATGGCGGAGGCCCCGGGATATTTTGATACTTTCGATACATTTTTTTGAAATTTGATAATAATATCCATTTTTTTTTATAAAATTTGATACCCCCCAAAAGCAAATCTTGCGTACGGCCCTGACTAATGTAGGTATTTAATTTTAAGTTATTTTTCAGTATTTCAAGTGATATTTTATAAAAAAATATAAATTTATAATTTATCACTCAACCTTAAAAGTAAAAATTCTGGGGGGGTGGACCACCCAAAACACCCCGTGCGCACGGGCCTGTAACACGTCCAAAAACGTTATTGTTGGGAAATCTAATAAATACAAAATTGCGTCATTTTTGAATTATAGTTTCAATTAAATAAATAAAAAAAACTCTGAACATAATTTCTAATTTCGAATAAAACGATTACCCTGATTTTTATTTTAAACTCAGAATTTTAAAATTTTTCACCCACACTAGTACATTAATATTATATTGTGCAACTATTCAACAACCACAAAGAATTTAAAGCCAATTTTTTTGATATTTTATCTGACGTCTGACAGCCGTCAATTCGTTTTAGCCTCACTTTTCGCCCACTTGTGGGAGAAGTAAAATTTCGCCCACCGGTTAAAGTTAAAAAATATAATAGGTGTTGAATAAAATAATATAATTATATTTTGCAACTTGTGAAATCTAGCAGTTAAATTTACAAATTAGAGTTGTTTTGTTACAAACTACGTAAACGTTAGGGTTTGCATTTATACTATGGGTCTAACTAAAAAATAAAAGATTTTGAGTAGTTTCACTATTTAACTGAGGTGTCGTATGTACCTACTATGCTTCACACCCAAAAATCTAACTTTGACATATAAATACTTACAATTAGTTTAGGTTATCTATCTGTCAGTTTGTTGTGTATAAAATATGTATGTATGTAGGTACTGCATTATTTCCAGAAAAAATAGACGAAATTAGAGATAAACTGACAGATAGATAACCTCAATTATTTGTATGTCCATTTTTTCTATTTTTCTGTCAAATTTTGTCTGTTTCAGGGAAATCTAAATTTGGGGAAAAGTTGCTTTGGGACGCTCATCAAATTTTGTTCCTTGAATATGGTTTGGATCTGTTAAAAAACTTTTGAAAAGGAAATTAAAATGAAACTGCGTTAAAATGTTTTTTCTACGACCACTATGTAATAGTCACATTTCGTAATGGCATCGTTGTTTAGAAAATGAATCTTTTCATTGGCAAGGCAAAGCACGAATGTAAAGTGACATTTCTGTTTAAAAAGTGACAGGTCTTTGTGAAAAGAAATTGACAACATCGTTTGACATTCGTTTCAAATTTTGTATTGTATTTGTATATGTACATATGTCTAAATATCATTAATTGTGTTTGTATAATAAATTCTAGTTTTTAGTGCCTTTATTTAAATTGAAAAGGTAAGTTTATTGATTTTAAGTAACTTGTACCTTAAAAATTAAAAGAATAAGATGAAAGTAATTTTAACAGCTGTCGAACACGTTTTTAGGTTATTTTGTTTTGTATTTGAATATAATAAAAAATAAAAGGGTCGTAGAAAAAACATTGTGTTTCACTTGTAAGAAAAGCTTTCTTCAAGCTCGTGTTAATCCAACTTAAACACTCATGAAAAAGTCGCTTTTCAACACTTGTAAAACAAATAATTATTGGGACTGCAAAACTAATTTTTACTTCATAAGACTAACGTCTCAAAAAGATAAAAAACTGCTTTATTTTTGGAACCTCTATACAATTTTTTAAAAAATAAAAATAATGTTTAAAAAGTTTGTACCAGAAATAATAATATTTTGTAAAAAGTCATATATTTTTATAATGTTACACTTGGAATATTTAGGGATTCCATGTGTTTTCTTTTCTTGATAATAGGTTATAATTTATAAATAACGAATTTGCTGCATAAATTTATTACTAATAATAATAAATAAAACTACAAACATAAATAATACTGTACACATCACTTAATCTAAAGTATAATACAATGGTAAATCAATAAATTAATAAATAGGTTGTATTAAGTTTTAAAAAATCTTATTTATTACCTAAACGCTGTATATTTAACATTTACATTCTAAAGGTATAAAATAAGAATATAAACATGAAATAGACAAGGTTTACTCTAAATACACAATTTCAGACTTAAAACTTCATAGAGTTCGTTTTTGGGAATTCGGTTGGCTAAAATAGTTTTATAATTATAATTTTGGTTATTTTAACTAGATGAACATTTATAATTTTTTATCTAGAGATCGACGTCTAACAATTAATAATGTCAATATTTGTAACAGAAATACTAATATTAAAAATTATAGCATTAAATACCAACATAATCAAAGGTGTCAAAATAAAAACAACGAACTCTACTTCTGGTCTTGGTACAACAAATAATTGTTTTGTAAAACCTGGGAATATTAAATATTTTTAAATTAGAAAATTGCCAAAAAACAGTTTTTTTGTCGCAAGCCAAAAACTCAGTTTGGGTGCTACAAATACTAAAAAGTCTTTGTTCCATTCTATTTACAAACGCTTATCCACTTCTCCACGTTGCAAGTATCACATTTGACTTGGCAACACCAATGAAATTTGCAGTTACACATCTCGACTTTCCTTTGCTTTATTAAATTGTAGCCCCTTCCGCAGCAGAGAGCCGAACATCCGTCCGGTCCTGTGCTGGTTATGTTGCAGGACCGGCCCGCGGTTCCCGGCACGTCCAAACTTTGGTCTCTGTCGCAGAAAGTCGGGGATTTTTGGTAGTAGAGCAGATCGTAGGACAGATCTCTTTTGTTTTTGTTGCGCCACGGTTTTTGTTGCTTGTTTTTTTGTTTTCGACGCTTTCTTTGATTTATCCTGAAATTTAAATGAAATTGTATTAATCAAAACCATAGTCAGTAATTTGAATTATAATATTTAAACAAAAATCGTATTTATAAGAAAACGAGAAATATTAAAAAATATTTTAAAATTTATGAATAAATCTCGTTTATCGTTTTTTTGTCATCAATACAAATATTCACGGTTTGACGTATCAAAACATATTCACATGTTTTAAAAATATATAAATGTTAATCAAAAATTATAAAATATTACCTAAATAAATAAAATTGAGATTTAACATTATAATATGCTTAAAAATATGTTATCAATATAAATACGAAGTTATTTATAACAGTTACCATTTATATTGTTAGTAGTTTATCCATATATACTTAAAAAAAAAATAAATAATAACTTTGTGTTTATATTGATAATATATATTTAAGTATATTTTAATGTTACCTATATGTAAATTTGTAATTTTATATCTTAAAGAAATATTTCATAATTTTGTATTTAGATACATTTATATATTTAAAAAATAATGTTTTACATTTACCTACATATTTTTTATTTATAATTATGCCACAAACATATCGTCAACAAACTTTTCAAAATTAATCCCAGTGCATTCGCCATTTTTAAGAATAAATAAATAAAATCTAACATCTGTCAAATGGTTAACCTCACTTTTTACCAATTTTTAATATTATTATAGTTTCCTTCTTCTAATTTGAAACTTGATTAGTTTAAATTACAGTGAATATTAAAATCGGCCAATCACTGATGCCTAACAACGTGAATAATGAGTTCATTATTCCCGTTGTTAGGCAGGGAATTTATAATGTTTATTATATTCCCGGAAAGACACTACGCAATAGGAGTAGATAATAGTATATTATATATAAAGTTTGATAAACGCCATTCTAGACACGAATTTAATTAAATGAGTTGCATACTATACTTTTTCTACGACAAATACTTATTATTATCTAAAAATTATTTAAATTAAATATTTGTATAGAGCGACATCTATGAAAAAATATAATTACCAACTTGAAAATACGGTTTATGTCAAATGTCAAATTTTTGTGTGTAAATCAAAATGTATCGATTGAAAATAAACGGTTTAATCGGATATAGAAAGAGTTTTTTACAGTGGAAGTAAAGAAAATGTTTTATTGGCACTCCCGAAATAAAGTTAATGTAGTTTACTGCCAGCGAAATTAAAAGGTCAGTAAAATGTTCATATAAACTTTTTAAATATTGGCGCTGAGAAACTAATTAATACTTTTGTATTTTTGTGTTGAGATAATAAAATAATTTTTACTTTTAATATTATTTTACAAGAAGGGCACTTTATTTTAACGATTGCATGACATTTTAGAACTCGCGACCTGAGAATTAGATTGTTCTATCTCCCAAAATTTAAAGAGGAACAAATAGCAGTTTAAAGTTTAATTTATATGCAAATGAAATTTTAAAAAGCTGTTTTTCCGTGTCAGATTTTTGAAAGATAGAATCTCCCAAAACCTAAACACGGAAAAACAGCTTTTTAAAATTTCATTTGCATATAAATTAAACTTTAAACTGCTATTTGTTCCTCTTTAAATTTTGGGAGATAGAACAATCTAATTCTCAGGTCGCGAACTGTCAACCAACTTAAAACTAACTTCAGCCCGTGACTAAAAACCTGTTGCTAACTTCAACCCGTGACTAAAACGCTATAAAGCCACAACTTGTCATTTATTATGTATTTAAAAGGTCACTTAGTGTAATGGAAATATGGGCGTTTAAAAGGTGGAAAATTATTAATTGCAAGTAAATTTTTAAAATGTGCATAATGGGACATATTCGCACCCATCGTATTTATTTACAGAGATCCAAAATATTAATGATTTCAAATAAACATCACAAAAATGTATTGACTTGGTTAACAGATTAAAATAAAATATTTAAATTGTAAAAAAAATTAGTTTTTTTTTTAAATTAAAAAATAAAGAATATTTTAAAACCCAAAATATCGTTTTATAGAGGGCGCTCCAACGCCATACCACGCGATAGGGGTAAAAAAATGTAATGGTAATTTTTAAGTTTAAAGAATTTAATTTCAAAAATTAAATATACTCACTATTAAAAATAGCTAAGTAGTATAAAAATCTTTAAAACTTTTCATTGGGTTAAAACAATTATTATTTAATAACAATTTATATACTTAATTTCTATTAAAATATTCATAGTGCAGTTTACTTACACGTTGAGTTTTCTTAAGCTCTTGTTTCCTAAATTAGTCTGATCAACCAGTATGGCAGATCGAAAACGGTCCTTTAGGGTTTTTCCGATAAATCTGAAATCTGGAGCGGCCCTCCAGCAAGTCTTTAACTCACAACTCCCCGACATTCCATGGCATTTGCATTTGGTTTGCATGTTTTTTGAAACGGCCTAAAAGTAAAACATAAAAAAAACATTAATAACATATTATGTATCAAGTTCGATAAAACTCCATTTTATCCATGAGTTTTAATAAAAATGTGTGTCAAAAAGATATTATAAAAATAATTTATTACTAAGATCTATCAGCGTTGAGAGTCGACCGAACAGAGGCGACATTTTTATAGACTGTGAAGCTTCTACTTGGGGGACATCCATTAATTACGTGAGGCATTTTTCTGATAATTTGGACCCCTCCCTCCCACTCACGTGAGATTCTAGCCATTAAACTTTCTTTGCGGACAACATGATAAACCCAAAAAATAAAAATTGATTACTTTTGTTTGATAAATTTGAATTATAATACATATTCTTTAAACCCAAAAGTTGACGTGAGATTTTTAATGATGATCAATATTTAAGATAAGAGGCAGGGTAAGAAATATTCACGAACTTTTTAAATATCTTGGTACGAAACCTATAGTGGAAGTATACAAAAATTAGGCAACCAAATCTGTAAAATTTCTCCTTTGAATATGTTTTCACAGAGGAAGTGAAGAGGATGTTTTAATGGGCACTTCACCCGAAATTATAAATGCATTATCGAAAAATACCAGTTTGCTGCCGGTGAAATAAAAAACGTGCCTATAAATTTTTCAAATATTGGCGTCAAGAAACTATTTAATAATTTTGTGTTTTAGTTTTTAAATAACAAAATAATTTCCACATGTTTAATTTATTATATTTATTATTAATGGTTTTGATTTTTATTCAAGAATTAAATAAAGACTTTCCACATTCCATTTTAAACAACCTATTTAAATTTAAATACGAAATTTTAACCACAGATCTTCCAACGAAATTTTAGCACTTAAACTCGACAGGCATTCAATTTTATATTTATATGTTAACAAGTTTACCACGAAGGCGATTGGACCGACGAAAATTCACGTCAGGATTGGACAACACTTTTTTTTTATTTGGGATTAGGTATAATTTGTTATTCATAGAATTTTAAGAGACCCACAAGGATGGTGTCAAAATAAATCTAGACGAAAACGTTCTTTTTTAAGCCATCAATTTTGATTTATGGTTTTTGTTCTTTTAATCTGATTAAAGATGTTTAACAGTGTGCCAAGTGCTTCTAAAACATTAAATCCAGTTAAACATTTCATTTAAAATTTTTCAATTTTGATTTACGGTTTAATACTCGTTTAATGCAATTGCCAAAGGGTCTTTCCATCTCAAATCGTCCAGGCAAATATGTCGTTATTTTTCAACAATTTTTTTTTAAGTTTCTCTATCGAAATCAATAAGACCTCTATTGGTGTACAGAAGTAAATAAATTAAGAACGCTTTGAAACCTTTGTGTTTAAAAGAAGTATAAGATTTGACAGTTCGTTAGTTTGTTTTGCTGGTAAGTGAATATTAACATTTTATTTTACTACTATTTTACTGTTAAAACTTTTTATAAAATAAAATAAAAATAATAATTAAGGTGGTTAGAATCAAAGGGGTGTAAGTAATTGCTCAGCATTTGTTGATTTTAAAACTACTAAATAAAATCATTCAAATATTTTAAAACGATTATAAAAAGTTATATCTAACCGCCCATAGTGTGGCCATTGTAGGAAATCTCTGGCAATAAATAAAAAACGAAATAAACAAATGAAAACTTGGCGTTTTCATTAAAAAATGAAGAATTTAGCCAACTCGGGACTTATGGTGAAAGTTGTTCAACAAAAAAATGTTGCAATTGTTAAAAATTTGACCTCAATTTTTTTGGCCTTTAAAAAAATAATTTAAAAGAAAATGTGTATTTACTTAATTTTTTATGTTTTTTGTATGTAGTAAACATTTCCCCACAATTAAAAAAACGTAACGAACGAAACATTTTTGGCCAAGTTATCGCATTTTCAAGAAAAAATGTCAATGGTAAAAAGAGAAAAATCGATGTTTCTGTCCATTTTTCAATAATTTCCTTCGGGTGAACAAAACAAATTTAAGCAAGAAAAAAAATCGAAAAAAATCTAAATCGGTAGAGAAACCGTAAAAAGAACTTCGTTAAAAAATAACGACTTTCGTTTTTTGCCTGGTCGATTTAAGATGGAAAGACCCCTATATTGTTTTGTGTACTATATATAGTACACAAAACAACATACACCATTATGGAACAAGAACTGCTAATAATATATGTATAGAATTTTAAAGGATTTATAGATCCAGAAATGCTTGTAATTACACTAGTTTGGCTCATTAAACGCGAAAATCACACCTAAAATTTTTTTCATGGAGGCGTTTTCGAGATATGAATTTCCAATTGTTTTTTTTTTTTTAATTTTCTGTGTTGTTTTGACGTTTTTGAGTATACTTCGAGTTTTAATTGATCGATTTGACCAAACAAGCACTTAAATCAAAGGTAATTGAGCCCTCTACAACTTTCTTTGGTATAGTTTTGGTATCGGCTCAGTAGTTCGATACTGGCGATTTTATGAAGTTTTACAAAAATCGAGGTCGAAAATGTATATACCTTTCTGGGGAAGATAGAAATCGAAAATGTAAGTCCAGTTTGATATATTTTACGTATAGATTATACTTAAAGGAAAAAAATAAGCTGCTGTTGATAAAAATCCATGAATAAATGGCGAGGTCAGGAATTTTTCAGTGGAAGAGCAAAATTCAGTTTTTCGAGAATTTTTACGTTTTTTCTTTGTTTTATTGAATAATATAAAATTTGATTTTGAACATTGATTTTTATTTTAAACATTAAATATTGAAATTAAAGTATATATATATTGGATATTTAACAATAAATATTGAACATTGAAGATATTTAAAGTTTTATTTTGTTGTAATAAGCATAGGTTTAAAAAAAATCAGGCTCCTTCTTTGTTTTTTGTTGCTGTCGTATTCGGTTTCTCGTATCAGGGACCAAATGTAATCACCCATCATGGCTGCATCCCAGAATCCGCAAAAACGCCGCTCCATAGCCTTTATTTGCTGTTCTCCGTGCTCATCACTTACGTCACCCAGATTGTCCGGGTTATTTACGCACTCGAACTCTCTACTTCTTTTACTTATTTTACACTTTTTATTAACTAAATAAAACCATGATAAAATACCTTTTTAAAATATCAAAAAATAGCAGTAAAATGTCACTATGCCAACAAGAGAAACAAAAGAATTCACGTTTGCGGAAATTTTGAATAATGTTTTCGGTGTAAAAAGTACGTAAAAAACTCAAAAAATTTCAATCATGCACTTTACTTAGGTTTTTATTAAAGAATATACATATTACAAAATAAAAGAACAAAATAAAATAAAAATTTTCAAAAAGCTGAATTTTGGTCTTTCACTAAAAAATTCATAACTTCGCCATTTTTCCATGTATTTTTATCAACATTAGCTTGTTTTTTTTGTAAAAATGTCAGCTTCACGAAAAAAATTCCAACTGGAGTTATCTGTTTGATTTAACCCTTCCCAGGACGATATGTAAATTTTCGAACTCAATTTTTGCCATAAAAACGAATTTTTTAAGTTATTAAAATCGCTAGCGTCAAAATACTTATCCGATATCAAAAGTAAGTTAAAGAAAGTTTTAGAGGGCTTAAGTACCTTTAATTTAATCAAACAATTAGATTTCAAGATATACTCAAAAACGTCAAAACACCTCCGAACATCCAATTCATATTTTAAAAACGCTTCCATAAAAAAAAATTAGTGTGATTTTCGTGTTAAGTGGGTCAAAATACATGGAAAAATTGTCATGGGATATGGTGGGCAGAATTTTTTTTCAATTTTGTAAACTAGTATTATTATGCACCTAATTTTTATAATAGACTAATAAAATATAAGAGTTATCTTTGAAACAATTTAAGATACGTATAAAGAAATTTTTAATAATAAAGACGTTTTATGACATAAACGAGTTTTAACATGCGATTTGTCTTCCATGTGATTTATAAAAATTAATGTTGTATTATAATAAATATAATATAATAAATATAATATAATAAATATTAGGGTGTGCCAAAAAAACTCGATATTTTTTTTTTCTTGCTCTCCACCCAAAATATCGTAGAATATGTCCGAACAAATATTCTGTTAAAAGTGGAGCTCATAATTTCAATTTTAAGAGGTCCCTCATCGAATCTGAAGTTTTGCCGCTTAAATAACACAGAAAACTGACTTTTTTACCTTATTTATTCTTGCAACCTAGGAAGATTTTTTTTTTTCGTAAAATCCATGACTAATTCTTACAAAGCATTAAATTTGGACAAAAAAATCTTATTAAGCCGAATTTCTATTTTCATTATTTAATTTTTTACATAGCTTTAAATTTAAAGATAATAATACAAAAATGATGACTTTATACGCCTGTAACTTTTAGAATATTGACGATATAAAAAATTCGCCTGAAACTTTTTTGTGGTCCATCAGACAAGCTAAAAAATTACCATTTGACTTTTTCGTCTAACTTCAATAGTTTAGCTGAAAAAGGCAAAAAACGTAAAATTTTAAATTTAAAGCTCTGTAAAAAATTAAATAATGAAAATAGAAATTCGGCTTAATAAGATTTTTTCGTCCAAGTTTAATGCTTTGTAAGATTTGGTCATGGATTTTATGAAAAAAAAATTTCTTCCTAGGTTGCAAGAATAAATAAGGTAAAAAGGTCAGTTTTCTGTGCTATTTAAGCGGCAAAACTTCAGATTCGATGAGGGACCTCTTAAAATTGAAATTATGAGCTCCGCTTTTAACAGAATATTTGTTCGGACATATTCTACGATATTTTGGGTGGAGAGCAAGAAAAAAACTATTTCGAGTTTTTTTGGCACACCCTAATAAATATAATATAATTATAAATATTCTTTCTGTAAAGTTTTATTTTTTAGGTCTAGTTTTAATCAATAGGTTTTTAGTTTGTATTTTTTTTGCTGACCTGTGTAAACATGAATAAAGACTATTATTATTATTATTATTTAAAATCTTTTAATTTTGATTTATGGTTTAAT